GCCACAAAACCAGCCAATCACAGACTTGAATGCAAAAATATCTGATTGGCTGTTTTGGTCTCCAATCAGCTCGAAATGACAAAATGCAATATCCCAGAATCCATTTCGTCCAAAACTCAAACGAGGCAGTGGCGGAGGAACACAGAGTGGCGGAGTTTGAAATATTACTCTTTCTGGGTCACAAAATAAACTTTTAAGATATTTTCATGCGAGAATGGTGTTGTGTAAACTTCAAATATTTGCTCGATTTATCAAGACATCACATATTTGCATAAGTGCTCTAACGTTTTTGGAGATGCCTGTTACCCACCAGCTGACCACATAGCTGGACTGGCCATTCGGCATACCGGACATTTGCCCGGTGGGCTGATGGTGATTTTTCATTTTTATGTTTGTTTGTTTTTGTAACGGTATAAACAATGAAAGGTGGTGGATTAGCCAGTTGGTCATGATCAACTCTGGGCTGGACCAATTACAATACATCAGTATTGCAGGGAAAAGGAACGCGATTAGTCCCGGACTTTAGCTAGAATAAAAAAGACACAAAGCTGGAGTTATTCTGTCTTTACGCTGCACAGCTGCCTCTTCTCCCCTCATTCTCTCTCCCCTCCCTCTCCTGTTGCTACTTCAATCATGAAACTGATCAATGATCACCTGATCGTCTCTCTTGTTTGTTCATCTCCCACTTTGCGCCAGAAACAGGAAACCAGCGGATGTTGCGCTAAACAACAACAGCATCACGTTTAAGCTTGATCAGCTGTTGTTAGAATTCATTTAAAATTAATTTCTAGTATCAGCTGATGTTTGCTGGAGCCACAGCTGTAAAAGCTGCTGCTCGAGATATCGGTTTGGAAACATGAAGGTGATACAAATCAAATCAAATCATGCATATATACCAACAAGACAGTGTACATCACTGTCACAACAGCGTTTGTTTTAGTTCAAAGGCTTTATGGTTTTTCCTATAATACCTGGTGGTGTAGTCGGTGATTTTTTGTCAGTTCAGCTTTATATATTATGTTTAACCCGAGTGACCACCCGGTCAGCTGGTGGGTAACAGGCATCTCCGAAAACGTTAGAGCACTTATGCAAATATGTGATAAGCCTCGTTTGAGTTTTGGACAAAATGGATTCTGGGATATTGCATTTAGTCATTTCGAGCTGATTGGAGTCCAGAACAGCCAATCAGATTTTTGTTCATCCAAGTCTGTGATTGGCTGGTTTTGTGGCACAAATATAACGGTGTAGAGAAAGAGTTGAGCGCGCACGGGCAGAACTGTTGAGAGCGCGAGCAACACATTGCTCAGAATAGTGGCACAAAAATAATGCCATATTTAATAGGCCTGAGACACCCAAAACATTTTGCCAATATAAGGTCACTGTCTCAGTTATTCAGTTTAAAGATGGATACACTATGGAGTTACTGTAAAAGAAGAGAAACACTAGATATGCCCAACAAGTCATGAAAAACATTTAGGCATAGACTTCCCTTGGAAATGTCATCTCACTATACTCATTCGTCTATGAGTAAGTGTTGCTGTCACTTCTTCCTGGGTGTTAATATTCTGTATTTGTCATTGTTGGTGTCCTTAGAGCAGGGGACTAAGGACAGCACATTTTACATCGTGGGCCGCATACAGCCCACTTCGATGTGAAGTGGGTCGCACCAGTGAAACACAATAAACATGTAACATTACAGAAGACATTGATCATTGTGCCTGTAATTATGAATTTAGACTAAAGAGTTTTCAATAGTTAACAGAAAATGTTCGTGTGCTTCGGTGTAGTATGGGTGGCAATGGACGGTGGGGGTCTATATCAATCAGAAAAGCTGTAACACTAAGGGCCTTATGTTAGACACCCTTGCCTTAGGGGGATGTGACCAGAACCCATACCTGTGCTACTTTTCAATACCAAAATTCTAAAAAAACAAAAACTATTTTTGTTTAAGTGTTACGAAAGACAGTAGAAGTCGGGGATGGAAGTATTTTGCATTGTTATGCTGAAATACCGTACCTTAAACCTGTATTTTAAGATGACAATAGCTGTGGTGCACAAAGAATTCTGGGGCTATAGAGGTCTGTAGAAAAAACAGGTTTCTGTTTTGACCTCGACAAACACTTTCCTGCTGACTTCATGGCCTCAATCGCTCATTTTAGGTCACACTGAATAAAAACGAATTATTGTAAATCTTTGTTATACATGGTGTCTCAGAATAATCTGATTTCAAAAGGCTATATATTATTAAAGTTGTGGAAGTTTCAATTTTAAAATACATGTCTGAATAGAGTTTCACATATAAAACAATGTTCACAAGTGCTCAGTGTGTTTATTCATTTTATACTTAATATTAAATCCCATCCAGTATATGTTCATAATGTGTAATACAGTGTAATACACATTTATTAGACCACCCAGTGTAAGATTTATGCCATAGCTGACCTAGATTAACAGTATTGGTAATTACCAAAAATCATTGTTTATTTTTCTGTAATGGTTAATCTACCAATACACACAAGTTATTTAATCCAAATATTTTAAAATGCAAAAATATAATAACTGTTGTAATCCATGAATTTTCAAATTTGCTGTTTTGTAAAACAGCTGAATAAAACTAAAGCACATTATTATTATTTTTTGATTAAGGTGCCAAATTACAATTATTTACTTGCATTCCTGAACAGAAAAATTAGTTTTAATGGTTGATTGTTATGCTTGATTAATTTCTGGCATCTCACAGAAGTCCTGTGTGCCGGCTCAAATGTGTGAATAAAAGCACAAATTTAGTTTGTTATTTGCTTAATAAATAACAATATAATTTCAAACACATTTTTGACTGATTTCAGATTTCTATTTGTGTTTTCATTTGTTAAACACTGTGTTATGTGCTTAATGTCTGTAGGCATACTGAGAGATGAGGAGTGTTTGGGGAATCACAACAGGACTGTTAAAAGTTCCTCCTGATTGTAGTTTGCACTGTAACTCGCAACCCAACCTTTCTGCAGCTTCAGCATAATGTTAAGCTTAAAATGCAAAAGTGTTCAGTGCATTCCTCTTCTGGATGCGTATATCTACACGATAGTCAAACCCATACTTTTGTGAGCGTGTCTGGAGTCAATGTAGCCACTGCTACTGTTATTCTACCAGCAATCGTGTAAAATTCACAAACTGCTCTTTCTAACAGTACGTGTTTTGCTCACTCTTTACTATGTTAAAATAGATAATTGTCTACGATATGAAACTGCATGTTAGCTAACGACTTTTAAGTGATGAGTCATTCAACAATTTACAGTGTCACTGTAGCTAAGGCCATCTTTTATACTGTTTATATAAAATACACACTACCTTTTTATTTGGAATTGGCATTATGATATCAGTTATGTCCCATAGGCTATAATGTTTGCAATGGCTAAAAAGATAAATAAATGAATGAATGAGCTAACATATTGGAGCTAATGATTAGCAGGCTACCTTACCAACCATTTCATTCAGCCTTTTCGTCTTATAAACAAAGTATCATGTTAACGTTTTAAGTAACAAGTTTGTCACCACCTTGTTGGTGTCTTTAAATTACTTTATAACAAAAGATTTTATGTTTAAGTAGTGATGTGGGTTTTTTTTTTTTTCGATAGTTGGAAAAAATGGCTACTGAGTATTGTGTAATTTTACTGGTACTGGAGCAAACTAGTCTCTGATACTGTAAAATATCTATGACCTAAAGCCTACAGTGTAAATGATAATTAGCTAAACACCAAGCTCACCCATGAGCCTTACCCATATGTTAAGGTTAAGTTGTAAAGGTTAAGGTTAATTGAATCAACATCTTGATATGAAATGGTCTGGTCTGTATTTGTATAGAAGAAATAGAAATAGAAGAAACAGGACTCAACAATCACAGTTTCAATTGATGATAACACTGGTTTAGTGAATCACTAAAGCCTTTTATTCTGTTTGCCCCTTCAGTCAAAGAAGAAAAAAAAATCTCAAGTAAGTGTTGCGGTTATAGTTTTGAGATTTCTGCCCTCACCCCAGCACAATGGCTGTGAGAAGAATTTTGATTGTGGTGCTCAAAGCTTTGATATATTTTAAAAGATTAAACAGTGTTTTTCTGTAGAAGAAATGTCCTTGTTTTTCCAGACAGATCTCACTTTGAAGTATTCATAGGAACTCCTCACTGCTGAATAAAACAGTCTTTAAAAAAAGAAAACAGTTCACTCTGTTCTATGGATTATAAAGAGTACCTTTAACACTACTTCTACAATGAAGCATTGCTGCCAATATTTCAATGTAATTTCTCCACTCTGTAGTCTCTCTATAGTCAAAACAAAAACTGAGATTTCATTCATCCCTGCAATGGGGTGAAGGTAAAAATCTTAGAGGTGGATATTTCAAAACCTGGACCCAATACAGTGGGTTTTATTCATTCAGCAATCAGCCCATTGTTTACGACCACTCACAGGTGAAACAATCATATAGGTTATCTCCTAACAGCAGCACATGTCAGGGTCTGGGATTTATGCGATTTAAGTAAAGAGTGAGCTGTTGTCGTCAAAATGCGGGACCGGGGAGAATGAGCAAGCGTAAGGACCTGAGACGCTTTGACAAAGGCCAGATTGTTTGAGCCAGACGACTGGGTCTAATAACAAGGGCTGTTTGTGTTAAGCTGTGATGAGTGAGAGGAGAACCATAAAATGGTGACAGGGTGTTTGTTGCTGAGGAATGTGGAGCAAGTCTGATCCAGGATAGATGCCTTGCGTCTTACCCGACTTAAAAGATCTGCTGTCTAGGTCTGTCTTTAGTATGAGAGTAACTACAAATTTAAAAAAAAATGTTCACCCCTTACCTCTTAAACTGCTTACAGTCACTATAATAATGTAGGTTTCTGTATTATTATTATTAGTAGTAGTAGTAGTAGTAGTAGTATGATGATCATGATGTTCATATTAACAGGGCAGAAGCGTTTCTCATATAAACATTTCTTATCTTCTGGTGTGCCTCAGACCCAGCGCCGTGTGACGTTCCATCTTCCAGACGGTTCCCAGGAGAGTTGCAGTGACAGCGGGCTTGGAGACCCGGAGCCTAGCATCACTGCCAGTACCACCCAGCCTCTTCCCCTTAGCTTCCCCCAAGAGGAGTACTATGAGCAAACATCACCTAACAGCCGGACCGAGGGAGATGGAAACTCAGACCCTGAATCCAGTGAGTAGTATATTTTTGCTAGATCTCACAGCAGGCAAATCCTTTCTTTTATGTTTTTCATTTTTATTATTATTTGTGCTTTCTGAGGCTGACAGCATAATTTACAAGTGGCCATCTGTGTTTTAAAACAGTACAATTATTTACTGAGATTACAGCTGTGATTGTAATTGTAACAACACAGCTTTGCAAACACTAAACCAGCGGCCATTTTTGTACAAAAAAAAAACAAAAACAACTAGCTATGCATGTTGTTTTTGTGAGTTCATTCTTTAAGCAAGCAAAAAAAAAATCTAATATTTCGCTACGTACTCATTCTTAGTGTGTTATATTTGACAGTTTTCTTTATACAAATTAAACCAAACACCATCTCAGTCATTTTAAAATATGCAAGTAAATTGGTTTCATTAAAAAAAAGAAAAGAAAAACACAAGCAGTGATTCTGTCA